CCGTCAGTGTTTTACTGTCTGATGTTTTGACAGTAGGGAGCCAGGCATTAGAAGAGTTTGAACCATTTTTTCTTCTTCTTCTGCATGTTGGTGATGTGGTTCTGAAGATCTTCTTCGGTGGCCTGAAGGATGTACTTCTCGTGCTGCCGAAGATAACGCTCAGCTCCTAACAGATCTTCTGTCTTTTTCTGGGCTGCTTTGATCCTGTTTATCTCCATTGTCTGCTCCACCAGCCGGGCTTTGGACGCCTGGTTTCTTTTGACCATCTGCGTAGCTTCCTCTTCCAATGTTTGAAGAGTAGCTATGTTCTTCAGCTGGGCATGATCGAGGTCCCTGCAGATTTTTTCCAGGTGTGCCGTGAGGGATGACTGTTCCTGGAAACGGAGACGCTCAGTCTCCAGCAGGTCCTGTGTTTCTTTCAGAGCTGCTTTGATCCTGTTCGTCTCCGCTCTCTGCTCCTCCAGCTGGGCTTGGGACGCCTGGTCTGTTTTGACCATCTGCGTAGCTTCCTCCTCCAATGTTTGAAGAGTAGCTATGTTCTTCAGCTGGGCATGATCGTGGTCCCTGCAGGTTTTTTCCAGGTGTGCCGTGAGGGATGACTGTTCCTGGAAACGGAGACGCTCAGTTGCCAGCAGGTCCTGTGTTTCTTTCAGAGCTGCTGCGATCCTGTTCGTCTCCGCTCTCTGTTCGTCCATCTCGGCTTTATAGAAAGCCTGAGCTTTTTCCAGCTTCTGTTTTACTGCTTCCTGCTCTTGTGCTCGAATGGATGCGATGACCTGCACCTGGGAGTGAAAGTGGTCACAGTTTTTTTGCTGGCGTGCTTTGAGGGAGGACTTCTCCTCTTGCCATTGTAGATGTCCATTTTTCAGCTCCTGTTCGGCCTTATGAAGAGCCTCCTTGAGCTGACTGATGACATCTAAGTGTTTATCAACAGTAGCCTGACAGAGGTTCTTAGATACCTCCATCTCCCCCTCGGTGGACTTCGCGGTTTTGTTCTTTTCATGGAGAACATCTAGAAAATGTTGAAGACAGTCTTCATCAATTTCTAGGAGGACTCTGTCCTTAGTTGTTGTTTGGGTGAGCCTCGCCTCGCTGTCCAACAGTTCACATCTTACTTGTTCCTCCAGTGAACTGAGGTAAAAATTCATTGGAGGTTCAACCTCTCTGGAATTTAATTCCATCTTTGAACCAACTTGGTTTCTGGTGTGAAATACTGTACAAGAGTTTTCCAATGCAATTGTCAAGTGTGTATCTGAAAGAATTTGATGTGTGCTGTGAAAAACTGTAGGAGAGTTTTCAATGCAATTGTCAAGTGTGTATGTTAATGTCCGCTCTCAAATGTGTGAGCTTCGATCTGAATGTCTGCAGTAACTCCGCACAAAGGTACGGTCATCGGGCACATTCATCTTCCAACTGCTACTGCTCACATATGCAGCTGCAGAGTGCTGTACATGGAAGTCCCAACTGAAAGCACTTGCACCTCCCATGGCAACTTTTCTTACAGGAACACTAGGCCAGTTCCTGACAACTGGCTGCGATGGGGGGTAATGTCGACTAACATACCTGCCATTTCTCTCCTTTCTGTGTCGACCCCCAATCAGTAGGACTGCCGATGTCTGGCCTGGAGATAGTTGTCTGGCCCCAGATGATCCCAGCCTGATAAGCAGCACGCTTTGCATGTTCTCTCAGGGCTGCCTGAGTTGGTGGAATCGAGTTGCGGGGCCTTCATTTGTGGGCAAAGAGATCCAGTCTTGCTTCATCCACACCAGTAACTGCGCTTGATCTATCGTACATGAGGACAACAAATCTCTCTAACTGTTGCAGGTCCAGGTCACTAATTGATGTTGGATGCTGGCTGAGATTGGTGAAGGTTTCAGAAACTTCATCACAAATATTCCAAGTCTGCCACGCTGTCTTCTTCCCTTTACCATGCAATGCAGACACAATGTGTGATAGGAAATGTGGTTGTGCTAGAGCATTTATACTGTGATTTAGTTTATGTCCCTTACTCACTAACAAAACTATATGTGACATACGATTGTAAACTAGGAAAGTGGTAACAGGACCATATGGGTTATCTCTGCCTTTGCTTTGATAAGGGGAAGTAACTAAATGGGGGTTGCAGTTTAACCAGAGAATGTTTAGGTGTGAAGATTCCCAGAGATAATCAAAGGTAATGAAGACACATGTCTTCGTGTGACAAGGCTCAGAAGACGAAGGGGATGACTGGAGGGGTCAATGGGGAGCTTGAAACTGCTGATCAATTGTTGTAATGTAAATACCTGATGTCCCCACCCCCCCCCTGCTGTGTGCTGAGATGTTTAAGAGCAGGAGACAAACGGAACTCTTGGCTCATCCTCTGCGGACGGTGTTGCAGTCAGTATGACGGCGAAGCCTTCTCTGCGCAGAGAATAAATACTTTAACAACTCCTTCTCGCAATGTTTCTTGTTTCAGTATTATAGGACTCACTCTGTACTATTGAATAGTTTTTCCACCACAAACTTGGCGTCACGAACAGGATCCCTTGAAAGATCATCAGGAACCGACTGCGGACGGGGACTGATCATCCAGGAGGCTTCTCCTCTGTGCCGCCACACATTCTGGAGAGGACCGTTCAGTGGTTCCTGATCATCTTCACTGGGATCCTAAAGGACCTGATTGATTCCAGATAGACTTCTAAACATCCGGTGAGATACTGAAATTTGGAAGATTGACTCTGAAGGTTTGTTTTGGGTTTTTTGTTTAATTAATGTCAAATTGGGATTTTAAAAGTGCACTGATTTAGGAAATTGAATATTTTTGTCAATATTCATATTTGCATTTAACAGGCATGTGTGGATATTTGTTGACATCTCATATAAATGCTGTTGTTCGTGAAAGGTTGGGTAGATACGGTAATATAGGATACTACTTTTAGGAGTGTTCGAAGAATATTGCTGAGTAAAGGAGGACGGGGAGAAAAGGGTGAGTGTTTGATAGTCATGTTAAATACCTTAAAGGTTGAATATCTTACAGGTAGACATTAAACACTGAAGTCCTTTAACCTAAGACGAAGAATCCGTAAGGAGACTGGAAAGAAAAAGATTAGACTTAGACTTTGAATCTGTAAGGATAAATCTGTCAAGGTAACGGCTTAACTTTGATTGTGCCCTAAACAAATCCAAAGACTCACGGTGACGACTGTATTTAAAGTATAAGTGTACACTGACTGTGCCTCAAAATGGGTGCACAGGGAAGTAACCAGGTTCCTCCACCTGAAGGGCCTAATGTAATTTTCATGAAGAAAAAGTATGGTGAAATGAGTTGTTAACATCTGAATGAATGGGTTAATGAATGTGGGTTTCCTCAAGGAGGATCATTTAACAGATCAGGTTAAAAAAGTTACAAAAATGATAGAAAGTCACAAAAGAAGTTTGAAAATGTGGAAGGATGAATCTGAAAGTAGGGAAAGAAAGAAATAGTGTAAAAAAGATGTATAGAGTAGATAAACCAAATGAGAAAGAGGCAGATAAAGCTTCTCAGAAATCTTCTTCTCTCTATCCCTCACTGCCCCACAGGGTGGATCCTGAACTCGACGCATGTCCTCCCCCACCTCCACCATATGTGGCCCCTCCACCCAGTCCAGCAGCACAGCAAGGCCCGCCCACACCAAGACAGCCTGACTTCAACCCATCTCCAACCAGCACTCCTGCCAGCAACCGCACGATCGCCTCCGTCACCAACCTCATGCAGCAGGCCGCACACGCCATGTCCCAACTAGGCAGCCCAGCCAAGTCACATGAGGACCTGGGAACAACTGGAGACGCAGTGAGAGGTTCCTACAACCACTCATGTGACACCAGAAGTGGACGAGGACCATGAACAGACGACGACGAGGAAAGACCTGAACTCTCATTCCCGATGGTCCAAGTGGCAGGTCCAAATGGAGCAATGATGGTCCACAGACCCTGGACTGACAGAGACATGACCGATGCCCTGGCACATCTGCCAGACCCCCAAGCACCAGGCACAAAGTTTGGTGATGAAGTTATCGTATTCTGCCGTGAGTTTAGCCCCACTGAAGGAGAACTCAGACGCCTCCTCATGAAGAAACTTGGCCCAGCCAACTATGCCAAGGTTCGAGCAGCCTGTCAAGGAAATACCAGACAGGTACAAACCAACTGGGATCACGCTGACAATGCTGCATATAGAGACATGATTACCTACTGGTTACAGCTTTGACAATTGCTTTCCCGCTGAGAATCAACATGACAAAAACAACATCATGCAAGCAAAAGCCTGGTGAAACTATAGCAGACTATTACGCCAGACTCCATGTTATTTTCAACAAGCACAGCGGTCTAAGGGATAAGAAGCACCTGCAAATGGATAGCAAATGGATATATAGTTATAAATAAATAATTATATATGTATGTATATGTATATATATATATATGTATGTATATGTATATATATGTATGTATGTATATGTATATATATATATATATGTATGTATATGTATATATGTATGTATATATATATATATATATATATATAT